ATTTATTTACAAGCAACCAGCATGTATGAGCAGAGGTCCTTATGCCACTGCATGAACACATTTATTATTACGGCTGGTCAAAAGGTCCGGTCAGCCGGGTGCCCCACAAGGTCAGACCAACCTGGCTTCGGGTCTGGACCGTAATCCTGGACCAGGCACAAAGGGGTGTGGGTCCAGCCCAGACCTATCCAGGTTGGGGTTAACCTGACACCCACACACACAACACCCACACATAAAACACATTGATGTATAACCAGATCAGCCGAGATCCTGCCGGGTCGTGTCCTTATGGGGGCCTACCCGGATCCAACTTATTTCAAATTTGCAACCTTATATATGATTGCATATGTGCAGATACATGAGCGCAAGTAGAGCATCATGTTGCACATATACATACACATGTTAAGCATACAGCCATTTGTGCATTGATATGAATTTCTGTATGTATATATGTACATCTGATGAGAAACAGGTTTTAGATTAGGTAGGTAGAAAACATGAAAACACGACATATATTTACCTGATAGCCATAACTTCCACAAATTCGGTATCAATCTGCAATACAATAACACTTGGATATCACATTGTGAATTTGGTGGAAATAATGTGAAATACTGCAAAAGGATATATTTGAGGGGACCACTCCTATATTGGAAATACCACTCCGTCAAACCATAAAAATAAGAATTTTATGAAACCACAATAAAATTCTCTCTCAAGGCTGGATGATGTTTTTTATGGAGATATGTTGCAGAGACGCACTAGCAAAGAGTTGTAATGGCGGTCCTCAGCTCTATTAGCAGTGGAAGCATGACCCCTAGTGGAGCCTGATGTTAAGAATGCAAGTGCTTTATGCGGATATGATAATACATGTTTGGTAGTTTCCTCGAGTCTTTTTAGCGTTGTATACTAATTTCAAACTCAAGGCCACACTTGAAGTTTTCATGACATTCAAGAAGCAACCTAGAAAGAGAAATGAAAGAAAAAACACTATTCAAGAAGAGGTTGTTTTTTGCTTCTTACCCCGGTTTCTTCCCTCACTTCTCTTATAGCCCCTGAAAAGATTTCTTCTGACTGGAAAAGCGCACAAAGAGAAAAATTCCATTTAGTATATGCATGGAAAACTCGTAGTAGTTGTCAAAGTGATTAAAGAAAGAAAATGCTTTTATAATCAATAAAGTCGCACACTTTATTGCAAAAACTCTGCAACTAGGATGGGAACTCCAGGGCCATTTGGATCCTTAGAAAAAGATTACGAGGAAATAATTTTCCAAGGAGATTGCCCTTTTCAGCTCTTTGGGTCCAAAATCTAGGGCTAAAATTTTTTTCGTACCAGAAATTGTTCTCTATATTTTGAGCCCAAAACGGGGAAACTATGTTCTTCCCACTAGCTAAAAAATTAATTTCCCTGCTAGATTTCCTTACAAAGCCGAACAAGAAAAATTAAAACGAGCATATATCTAGTTGGGCCTGGACGAAAAAGGGCAAACTCTTCCCGTCTCTCTCCCTCGCTCATCTCTCTCTCTCTCTCCCCATTTAGAGACATCTATTTCTACTTCCATCTAGCTCTAGCCATTCCCTTCTCTCTCTATCTCTACCATGTTTTAATCTAAGGAACATCTCTAGATGTTCCTTGCATTTAATCCATTTTCCTCTCTAGATGTTCCTTGCATTTAATCCATTTTCCAAATAGAAGTGTATCTTCTAGGGTGCATCCAGATGTTATTCAAACAGCCAAAACCCTTTTTATAGGAAATGTTTTTTGCAAGAAATGTATTTCCCAGGAAATAGTTTTATCCAAACAGTCTTTTCAGGGATCCAAAACGTTAGGATTCTAGCATGCATGAATGCCAAAGTCGGATTAATATGTAAATAACCTTGAATCACCTTGCAAAGGACTATGTTTCATAAGAAAATTAACATGGTTCTCAAGTGAGTGTTGAGACATAAGTGGATTTCATTATTGCTGAAAATATACACTTTAATTTAATTATCAGATACCTCCAAATCAAAGCAAAGATAAAATTAATTTGGCCATCTTCTGTAAAGAAGACAGCATTGGGTATTGACATGATATTGTTATAAATATCCTACTTGTGTACTAATGTATTCTGTTATTCAAAATGCGTGCTACAATTCAAAGTTAAAGGCAAAACCAGTGTAATGCAATGATTACATCACTTAACAATATTATTAGACTAAACACCTAATCCAAATGGATCTAATATCCTACATTGCATAGTGGATGTTTGTGTTAGATGATATTTGAAAGAAGATATCTGCCTGTGATACTGATGACTGGCAGTGTTGCGTCACTTCTCCATTTATTTTACGTTAACAAGAATTATACTGCCATTTGACATAATGAAATAGCTTATTACATGCAAACTGATTTCTTAAACTTGTTGTTTTCCTTTTGGTCCAATTGCATCAGGGGGAGTGGATTCAATTTTGGTGCTAGTGAAAGAAAAGGGAAAGGTTTCTATACTTCCCTTATAGCATAGAAGATCTATGCCTCCCCCACCATCCAGCCGTCCAATTTTGATCAAGAGAGCCACTCACCGTTTGATCTTAGATCCGACTTCTCAAAGTATTTTATTTTTAGTTTTTTTTTATACAAATTGTATGAATATGAAAGTTGGTATGTGTCATCTTCTCATTGGGACGCACCTATAAAAAATATTAAAAATAATTTTTCGATAAAATATAATGACCAAAATACCCCTTGAAACTTTCAAGGGTATTTTAGTCATTTTATTTTATTGGAAATATTTTTTTAATATTTTTCGCTAGTACGAGTTTAATAGAGGATTGGACGTCCAAAATTTAGTGTCAAAATAATTTATAGAAAAAACATTAAAAATAAAATAGTGTAAAGCGTGACATTGTGATTGGGGCAATCTTAGCCCTCCATTCAGAATGGAGGGTTGGATAAGGGGAAGTATGTGAGTTTTATGCTGTAGGGGAAGCATAGAAAGCTTGCCCGTAAGAAAATGCACATATTTCCAAGAAAATGCACATATTTCCAAGTATTCATTGTGTGCGTGCACGCCAGTGTTCGCAAAACCGGCTGATCTAACCGCTAACCACCCGGTTAGATCGGAACCGGCTAGTGGCCGGTTCCGGTTTTGGGCGGTTTTGGTGATCGACTGATTTCTTAAAGTTTAAATAGAATATTACTTCACATTTATATCATATATTTTACAATGGCGTATTGGTGAGCGCTGGCGACTATACTGTATACGAACATTGGTTCGAATCCCGCCATCAACGGTTTTCTTTTTAAACATTGATGTGGTTCATTTTAACAATTCTAAGTATTCATTACATTGGTAGGAAGTTCAAATAATTTACTTGCCCACATGAATCGAACTTGAAAGTTCTTGTAAAGAAATAATTTGTTATTAAACCCACTAACCAATGCAACCTGTACTATTTAGTTGCCAATTAGATCTATTAACCAATATGTCATTTACTATGTATTTACAAAAAGAATGGTCTATATTATATATAACTTAATTTTTTTTCATTTTCTTTTAAAAAAAGAGTTGGTCAAGTCGATATTAAAAAAAATTGTGGTCATTGATACTCACTTTTATATTTTCCCATCTTTTTCAGAAAATTTTAAAAATACCCCTAGGCACCAATCGATTCGTTAAAATCCACTTTTTTCAATAATTTTCAACTTCATTTGAGTGTGTTTTGTTTTAATCACATTCTTTATATGCTTTTCATATTTTAGTAGATTTTTTTTATATCTTTTTTATTTTTTTCAACACTTTTTTGATCGTTCGGGACTTGCCCGGTTAGAACGGTTGAATTGGCTGGTTTACCGGTTGGGCCGATTAAATCCCTTCCGGTTCGATTTTGCGAACACTGGTGCACATGCACACGATTGCTTATGAGAGTGTTGGCCACCTAGTGGCACACAGACATGCCTCAAAATCAAAGAACATTGTTTTTTGGGGGGCTACATGAGCAGGAAATTCTAATCCTAAAAAGAAACTGCTTGGGAGTGCCATGGATAGACAACACTCCAAAAGCCACTATTCACTGGATTATAGTCCTGGAAAAATGAAAATCTATGATGTTTGAAGAACATCATTCTTTCCGTGCGAACAGGTCTAACTGGAAAGAAGAAATACCTCAACAACAAAACCTGTTGGTAGCTTCCAAACACCCGAAAATGTTGAACTACAATACTTTTCTTGCACCACAAGTACCTGTTGGAAGCAAATGACACAATGCTCCTCAAAAGGTAAGAAGTAACCTTTCAGAAATAAAAGGCAAAAAAAAAAAGAAGGGTTGATTTCTAACTGTAACTGCTTTCATACATTAGTTAGTGCTTAATAAGCAGCAAATATTTCTTCATAACTGGTGCAACTGATTAATGCCTCTAAAAAGTAATATATAAATATTATAGCTTCAATAATTTATTTTTTCTCAAATGAAGTTTTGATACTAACCTCTCCCTTGTCATTGATGACAAAACCCCCAACTCCAACTTGGTGTGAGGCATTAGCAGGAAGCATGCAAGGCCCTTTTGGGAGCCAATATGTTAACATTACATATCCTGGCTCTGCATGGTGGTATTTGAATCCTTCCTATCATCATATTAATACTTTTAGGTCTCAATGATGAGAAAAGAAAGGTTCAAAATATAGGGAAATGAATAACATACATACAATCGACCAAATCAATCAGATAAATAAATAATAAAGAGTAGCAAAAGTACCCTCAAAGAGAGATTAACATTTATAAGACATTTTGCCTATAGCATAATTAGCATTCAATGTTTAAAATAACATGACCAGGGGTCAGGATAAGGAGATGCACTGCATTTTGAAAGACATTCATTAGAGAATTTAGCTTAGACGGTAGTGAGAATAGATGCCACACTATCAACTTTGAAAATCCTCTCTATTTGGTTTCAACTTTGAACTGGTTAAGGCTGCATGCATGCATGCATTGGTTTACACAACTTTTTGGATCTATTGGCACTCATCTCACAAAATGGCCACACCAGTTTAGAGGCAGGGAGTCATATGCCATACTTGAACATAAGTTAAGAAATAATCCTCTAAAGCTCTTTGTACAATTTTTAAAAAAATTATTTATATTACAAAGTTTATCTGTATCATATAATAAATAATCAGAAAAGAAGTATAGAGTTCTACCTTGACTGCAACAGGGACAAGATCAACATGTTCTACTGGCAACTTGAGCCAAACTCCCTTATTTCCCTGTACCAAATATTAACAACTTAGCCAAAGGGCCAAAGCTTAAACATTTAAACCACCAGTCCAGCATAAATATTTCCCCTTATTCAATATTCCATTCCATGAGAGAAATGAGAGTACCTTCAATTGCCAATGAGAAAGTGAGACTCTAAGGATGGAAGCAAATGCATTAGGATTTGTTGGTAACCTCTCTGGGTTAACTATCACTCCCTCGTATTCATCTTCTGAGGCATCAAGCCCACGGAAATTATCAATTATGGAGGAAGTCGACACCCCATTACTTCGGAATTGGTCAGATGCATTGCCACCAAGCCATGATGTATTGGTAGCTATGGTAATACTTGGTTTTGAAGCCTGAGCACTTGGATAAGAGGGCCTGAAATCTATCAGAAACCAAAAAAATTACACCATGCACCAGATCATTATTTGAAACCCTGATATGCTTTAAAATTACAGAGCATTAAGTGGGTTAGTTCAAGTTTACACTTTTTTTAAGGTGAAATACTCCAAATTCAAATGTACACCAAAGAAAAAAATTTCCAAACTATGGCAATGAGATTTGCTCATTTTGTATGAATTGTATGGCTGACATTCATTAATTATGGTACAATACAAGATTTCATGGTTTTGTTGGCTTTTATGGGAGTAGAAATAAAATCTCTTGATACTTTCAAAATTTATTTTCTTTTTATATATCTTTTTCCATGATTCAGTGGAAAGAACATGCTGGTCATGGTTTTGATTGAATTCTGAAAATAACTAACCCACTAAATGTTAGTGAGAAAAATGTGACACGACATAAAATTCTCCCAAAGTTTATGTCAAATGACCAGAGCAAACAAAATGTGCAAACAGACGCGATACTCTAATCATACAGATTCCGAGAGAAGCCATTGATGCAGGCAATGGTTGTTCAATTATGGGCACATCTCTCTCTCTCTCTTCTCTCTCTCTCTCTCTCTCTCTCTACACACACACACACACACACACACACACACACACACACACACACGCACACACACAGAGACAAACACACACACACACGCACACACACAGAGACAAACACACACACACACGCACACACACAGAGACAAACAGAGAGAGAGAGGCAAAACATAAAAAAGGGATAAATTAACAAAAGGACACCCAAGTAAATGACATTCATTTCATAAATTCATAGAAATTGAAACCAGAGCTCAAATATAAACTACGTGGAATTCCATGAAGCCCAACAATTCCATGATGGAAACAACAATATCACACATATTTAAACATACCCAGTTAAAAAAAAAATGCAAAAAAAAAAAATGCAAGATATACAAAGCAGAATTCTTCATTTGCCTAGCAAAATAACAAAATAAAAAATAAAAAAAAACCAATTTTTCAAAAAAGAAGAAATAGTGCATAAAAAAAGGATAAAGGAAAAACCTTTGCAAGAACAGGAGCATGGTCTTGGTGTAACGCTTGCACTGTAAATAAGCTTCAACTCATTCGAGCATGGCTTCACCAAACTAGCAGCTTTCAGAGCCAAAACAGAGCCTGAATCCAACAAGTTACAACCCATAATTCAATTTTTTCAAAGCCAAAAGCTACAGAACAAGAAGCATTTATCCATACAGTGTGTTACATATACACCAATCCATAACCAATGCCAAAACCATTAAATAACTCTCAAAAAATCTTGCCAAATAGTATATCACAATCCCAGATAGCGCCATTTTCTCTCTCTAGAACAAGAAAACAGACATGGGTCTTCAGAAATGCAACATCTCAAGCCCATATAACACCATGTTTGTCACTCTAGAACAAAACAAGCAATGATACCTGGCGTTTCTCTCTCTAGAACAAGATTGGACGTCGGTCTCATCGAAACAAAGTAGAAAACACAAAAAAATAGGGTTTTGAGCAATCTCAGCCACTAAAAGATATTAGATAAAATTGCTGGGGGCCTCCATTTGCTGGACTCGAAGAGACCCAAAAACAAGAAATGGGGCAGGATATGAAAGAGACATCCATCGCTGAAAGCATGCGAAATAGCCAATAGTGGAAGTGATGAAAAACATGGAGAATTGATGAGAGAAAAAAATGAAGAGACATCCATGGCTCAAAGTTAGGATTTACAGTTGGAACTCAGTACGTGTTCGTGACACCAACGACAGAAGAAGAAGACACCAGACTTTGTGTGTGTTAGAGAGAGACCCACAAACAAGAAAACTTAGAGAGAGAGAGAGATTTACAGTCCAGAACAGGAGAGACCCACAAACAAGAAAATCATTGTGGGTTGTCAGGAGAGCTATGGCTCGAGATTAAACGCGGAAATTGAAGCGAGAGAAGACAAATCAGATTTTTTTTAAGAGAGAGGGATCAGATTTTTTTAAGAGAGGGGTCACATCTAAGTATGGAATGTAACGAGAGAGACTGTTTTTTTAAGAGAGAGACAGAGGAGTCGTATGTAACTAGAGAGAAAGAGAGAGATCCGATTTTTTGAAGAGAGAGACAGAGGGCGTCATATGTAATTTCGGTTCGGTGTTTAAAACGTTGCTTCGGCACGTTTTGAATTTCTTCCGCCTTGCTGCCGAAGGCGTCGACGCCAAAGCGGTTTAACTACCCTAATTAGTAAATCGGTTGATTGCTTCAGTTGGACAAGGCTTTTAGCGATAAAAATTGTTGAAAAAATTAAAAAAATTTAAAAATATGAAAAGTATATAAAAAATCAAATAAAATTGAAAATTAATGAAAAAATAAATTTTAATTATTCGATTTGTGTTTACAAGTATTTTTTAAATTTTTTTTAAAAATAACAAAATATAAAAGTGAATATTAATGATCAAAACAATTTTTAATCTTTACCAAAATGTAAAGAATATTAAAAAATACATTATAAATGAAATTTCTTATTTAAAAATTTTATATACATTTTTTTTTTTTTTTTACATACCGGTTAATCACCAAAGCCACCCAAAATTGGACATGCCTGAATGGAGCTGTTAGTGGTTATATCCATTTTTTTCAAAAGTGGAAAAAATTGGATTTATCTGAATCGGGTGCTCCAATAACTAGAAATATTTTGTAGCTACCTAAGCCCCCTTTTTTATTTTTATTTTTATTTTTTGAATGTTAACGATAATTTTGATTGAGTAAATGAAAAATACAAAAAAGGATAAGAGAATAGAAACAAAAAAAAAAGACAAAAAAAAAAAGAGCATGAAATCGCTGCTCGTCATTGTGATGCAATGAAACTATATTTTTAAAAAATCATATTTGACGTATTATTCTAAGTTTTTCACACTCAATATTCAATCCCAACAAAATAAAATTCAATTTTCAGAATCTAAAATTATTGGGACGCTAAAATGCAATTTCAATTTTTAAAAAATCTAAAAAATTTCAAATAAATATTGAGAGACTCAAAAATACAATTCTTTTTGATGTTGAACATCCAAAAGTGGGCAATTTGGTTATTTTAAAAATATTTGTGCGATATTATTACAATAACATGTAGAAAACAGATACAAATATAATAACGAAAAAATATACCAGTAAGATTAAAATAATTTAAAAATAAATTTTCTCAAATGAAAACCCTCAAATATTAATCTCAAAGGAAGTTTGAAGGTCATCTCACCATGTGCCATGTATTGTAATCCCTGGTGTCCAGCGACATTGCAGGTTAACATGCTCATTAATTGTGAAGTATAGGCTTGCTTCTTGAGGCCTATCCGCCTCCTCTCGTACCAGCCTTTGTTGGTTCTGGTTCTCAAATCCTAACAAAGAAGGGGGAAGAGAGAGAACCCATGAGCATGGACCACCTCAGATGAAAAGACTTTTGTCATGAAGCTAAGTGCATATATCTAAAAAAAAATTCTTTATTTCTACGCCAGTAAAATCACTTACAATGTACAAATACAATCAAAGTAGTTATGAAAAAAAAAAAAGAATAAAAAAAGAATAAAATCGGTTCTCAATTGCTATCTCTTCAAATAGCATTCTTTATTCAAAAAAGAAAACTATATTTTATTGCTTTATCGGAAGAGATGATCAAAACATAAATAAATATTTAAAAACATATAATTTTTTATATAAAACTATACTTTATTGCTTTATGAGAAGAAAAGATCAAAACATACCTAAATAAATATTTTAAAAGATAAAATTGCCGGCGTCAACCGAGAGCTTCTAGCTTGATTGTAGAGAGATGACAAGTTATAGAGAGATGACAAGTTGGAGAGAGAGATAAATAAGAGCTTGTAATAGAGAGATGACAACTTGGGGAGTTTGATTTTAGAGAGATGACAACTTGGAGAGAGATAAAAATCTGGAGTTTGATTTTAGAGAGATGACAATTTGGATAGAGAGATAAAAATAGAGATACAACAAGAGATAAGAATTGATTTTAAAGAGATGAAAACGTGGAAAGAGAGATAAAAATAAAGAGGGAAGGAGAGATAAAAATAGAGATGAATTGGGGCAAGCCTCCTTTTGGGAATATAGATATAGAGAGAGAGCCTTAAATTTAGGGTAAATATAGAGAGAGAGCCAAATTTGGGGTAAATTTAAGATAAATATAAAGAGTGCTAAATTTAGGATAAGGAGAGATAGGGAGACGGAATATATAGAGAGCTGAATTTGGGGTAGGAAAAAAACAAAAGGAAGATAGAGATAAAGAGAGAAAGGGAATATATTGAGAGTTAAATTAAGGGTAGAGAGAAAATAAGAAAAGAGGAAAAGAAAGGAAGGGAATATAGAGAGAGCTAATTTTGGGGTAAAGAGAGAGATAATTCTTAAAAAAAGAGAAGATAATACCTATGTAATTTAATAAATGAGAGATCTTCTTTTATAGATTTTTTTTTAAAGAAACTTGTGGGGTGAGAGATTTCAATCATTCATCTTGATGTACCATCAAAATTTATAGATGTGAGGTAGAGCCTTATCCTCATTTTCTTAAATTTATTCCCATCAAATAATATTAAAATTTTATATTTTAATATATCCAATCCTTAATTATTGGATCAACCAACACAAATATTTAGTAAATATCTAAAATAATCAACCTTATCATATAAGTTATTATAAATATCTCAAATATTTAACCTTATCACATAAGTTAGCTATACTGAAGTCAACTAAGAGATAAACATTCTTCCAAGAAGAATAATGTAAATAGATGGGAACGTGCCACCTTTTGATGGTCATGTGTGGACCCGACCTAATCTACTTATATTTTAATTTTGGCCCCATATTTTATGGAAGCCCCATATATTTTTAGAAAATATTTTATTTCATATTTAGAAATTTTAAATCTTATATTTTATTTAAAATATTGAAAATTAATTTCTCTTAATTTATAAATCAAAATAATATAAATAAAATATTAGAATATTCACAAAAATTCAAATAAACATTCTAAAAAGCACATAACATTAAATTAATTGCTTTTGATGAGAATCGGATCTGTTAGATTTAGAAATTTATCAATACATGAGAAAAATCTAAATAAACATTCTAAAAATTACATAACATAAAATTAATTATTTTTTATGAGAATCGGGTTCGTTAGATCTAGAAAATTATTAATGCATGAGAGCACTTCACCTTCAATGGCGAATCACAATCTGTCTAGCTTTATCAAACTGATGCAGCAGTTCTCATGATCCACAGTCCACTGTAAAGACTCATGATTCGACCACCTACAAATAGACTAGGGATGCAATCTTAGTTTATGAATTTCAGGTTCTTCCCTAGAGAAAAAAATCATGGTCCTCTAGACCATGATGTAACTATGATTTTATGGTGCATAGGGGTAATCTCTCCCATATGTGCATATTTCACTCTTATTGGCAAATTTCAAAATGACTATCTATGTACATGTCGTGATGAGGTTTTAGCCATGTCTCTAAAGGTTATTCATCACACACAAGGGCCACACGGTCCCTTGGCTTTCATCCAAGCATACACCGACTTCATCAAGGGTTAACTCATTAAACTCTTCTCGGTTAGATCCCTATGCCAAGGTATGTTAGGTTTTTCCAAACCTCAGCTGGCCTAGCTCGTCGAGCCTAGTTCGAGTATCAACAAATAATATTTTCCTAGTATGGTCCACAAAAGAACTACACTCCCACTGAGTTTATGTTTCATTTATTAAATATGTTTTATACAGTATCTCATAAGGCCTTTAAAGACTACATAAACCAACAAAAGAGAGACATAAACATACATGAGTAGGGCTGGTAATGGGTCGGCACGGTCTTTTCCTCCTATGGCTGGCTAGCTAGACAGGCTATGTCGGGAATTAAAAAAATTAAAAAAAAATTGAAGAAAAAAAGAGGGGCGAATTGGTATAAGATAGAATTAAAAAATAATAATAAATAATAAATAGAAGGAAAAAATAATGTTTAAAAAAATGGATATTTGAACCTCAGACTGCTTGGAAAGTGCCCCAAACCTTCAAGCACTACCCTACCAATGAAAAATAATATTTAAAATACGGTCCGAGGACATAGCTAACTTTTTTTATTTTGGTTAGATATTTTCTACTGTGAAGAAGAGAGAGAACAATGAAAAAGAGAGAGAGATAACAATGAAGAAGAGAGAAAACAATGGAGAAAAAAGAGATAATAAATGATAATAGAGAGAGAAATAGAGAGATAACAATGGAGAAGAGATAGAGTACCTTATTAAATGCAAGAGGGAGAGTACTTGCTGCTTGGTCATGTAAGGTTAGAGAGAGAGCACCAAAAACATGGAAATTCAATGAAAGCAATGAGAACAAGACAGATGAAGGGAAAGCAAGAGAAGCAAGTGGGGCGTTTAGATATTTATAAGTTTCCAAACAAGGTTAAGATATAAAGGGAAAGAGAGTATGGATCCATGAATGTCTGAAGTCAACTCATTTCTCCATCTTTTTCATTAAAAAATCTTGTGGTTATTTTAAAGCATCAAAAGGCATTCGGCAAAGAGATCCTTTGTCCCCATACTTATATACTATTGTGGCATAAAGGTTTAATATTATGCTAAACTTTGTGGTTAGTAGAGGCCTTATTTTTGGATTTAATGTTGGTAGACTAACAATCGCTCACTTACAATATGCAGATAATACTATTATATTTTGTAGCCTAGAGGAACAAGAAGTAAAGAATTTGTAGGTGTTCTTAAAGTGTATGAAAATAGCAACGGGCCTCAAAGTAAATTTAAAAAAGACAAATTTGATTGGAATTGGAATTTCAGATCACGTAGTAGCATCTTTAGCATAAATTATTGGATGTGGGTTTAGCAAGTTTTCATATTTGGGTATTCCTTTATTTAAAGAAAACTAATCGACGGTTATTTGGGATCCTATTATTGAAAGATCTAATTAGAAACTGGATCTATGAAAATCTCAAGTGTTATCAGTTTGAGGAAGATCTACTCTTATCAACTCTACTTTGTCCAACTTACCCATCTATTTTATGTCCATTTTCATAATGCCAAAGCAGGTAGTGAAGACTTT